AAATGTTCAGTATATTTAGCTGTTAGAGAAATGCGAATAAAAACAATTCTGGGATTCCATATTACTCCAGTCATAATGACTATTATCAAGAATTCAATAAATACCAAATGTTCACAAGGATATGGGGGGAAAGGTACATACTTCTTTGTTGATAGAAATATAAGCTGATACAAAAGTTAGTATGAAGACTCCACAAAAAAAATAAAAATAGAAATTCCATTTGACCAAGCTACATCTCTCCTGAGTTTATTGTCAAAAACAGTCATTATACTATAGCCATGCATGCATATCCATGTTTTTTGTAGCCCAATTCACAATATCTAAACTCTGGTAACAACCTAGATTCCCATCAATAGACAAATGAATAAAGAAAATGATATACATGTACACAATGGAATTTTACTCAGCTATAGAGAAAAACAAACTTTCTTCACTTACAAGAAAATATATGGATTTTGAGACCACAATGTTAAGTGAAATAGACACAGATAATTAATGTTACATGGCTTCTCTTATAAGAAAAACCCAAATACAAATAAAGAGTGAAATTAAAGGGAAATGGTGAGAAACTAGGAGGCAGAAACTGGGAGAAGAGGACTAGTGGATCAGATAGAATTGCTGGGAGAAAAGAGATTGGAAATGTCAATATATGAAATGTATGTACCAGTTTCCCCACATGAGTGTAAATATGATGTACCATAAACATATTCCAAAGGAAAACAAAAAGTTACATACACAAAAATGAGGAAAAGAGGCAGAGAGAGACAAAACTAAAAACCAATGTCCCTGACAAGCATGGATGCAAGAGTTTGCAACAAAATGCTATCAAACAGATCAGCACTCCATCAAAAAGATTATAAACCATGATCAAGTGAAATTTACTCTAGGGATGCAACATATGTGAATCAAGAAGCATAATACAGGATACTAACAGGTTGATAAAAATATGTAACCATATCAATAGACACAGAAAAATCAGTATAATTTAGGAAAATTTCAAAGGAAATAGATACTGAAGGAATGTACCTCAATACAAAAGTCTATATATGAAAAACTCAAATGAACATCATGCTGTATAGAAAGGATGAAAGAACTTAGATTTATAACAAAAGAAGTATATGATTCCTATCTAACACTCCTATCTATCATTGTTAAAAAGAAGTAAAATGGAAGGAATTCTTTTCCAGAGTAATAAGTAAGAGATAAAAGGGTATCTAACTTGAAAAAAAAACAATTAAATTATTCTAATTTGAACATGATAAAATATTATACAATAAAATATCCAGACTCCACTTAACAACTATTGTTGCTATTAAATTTAGCAAAGTTTAAAGATATAAAAGAAACTTATAAAATATTAACATTTGTGCACCAATAATGAAATAGCTGAAAAAGGTAAGTCAACCTGGTGTGGTGGCACATGCCTGTAATCTCAACCCTTGGAAGGATGAGACAAAAAGATCAAGAATTTGAGGCCAATCTAAGCTACAATTTAGAGACCCTGTAGTGGAAAAAAAAAGTAGCTGCATTTATGGTGTCCACCACAAATAAAACCTAGAGAAATACAAGATCTCTGCACTGATAGAAGAAATCACAGAAGATGCAAAAGAATGGAAGACATCCCATTGTTCATGAATATTTTTAAAGTGTCTAATATCTAGAGTGATCAAGGTTTAGTAAAAATTCCATGGAAATTCCAAAAAAATTCTTCACAGAATTGTAAATAAACTCATTAAATTAATATGAAATTATAAAGTACTCAGAATAGCCAAGATGATTCTGAACAAAATAAACAAACAAAAAATAAAGCTAGAACAAATATGATACTTGATTCAAAACATACTAAAGCTATACTAATCAACATAACAGCATGCTGGTGTAAAAACAGATATACAAATTAATTAATGGGATGAAAAACCTTGAAGTTAACTTATTTGAAGACAACTGATTAAGCCAGGCATGGTAGTGTACATCTGTAATCCCAGCACTTGGGAGGCTGAGGCAGGAGGATCTTTGCAAGTCTGAGACCAGCCTAAGACACAAAGTGAGCTCAAGGCTGGGCTGAAATGCATAGTGAGACCCTGTCTCAGAATAAATAAATAAATACAAATAAAGACAACAGATTTTCTACACTGAACAAAGGGCAGTCAATAAATCATGCTGGGGAAACTGGATATTGACATACATAAAAAATGAACTAAGACCCTTACATCTCACCATACACAAAAATTAACTCAAAATGGATCAAAATCTCAATTTAAGACCCAAAACCCTGAAAACACCAGAAGGAAGCATAGGGAAAACAATTTGTGATAGGAAGATAGGAAAAGACATTTTGATTAAGTTGCCAAACAAACAACAAAAGCTAAAAGAGACAGATGTGATTACATCAAACTAAGAAGTTTCTGAGTAGCAAAAAGAACAATCTGCAGAGCCAAGCGACAATCGACAGCATGGGAAAAAAATTGCAAAGGCTTTATCTCACAGGGGACTGATTTCCAGAATATATATGGAACCCAAAGAAATCAACAGCTAATTTAAAACGGACAAATGATTTGAATAGATATTTCTCAAATATTACAGAATTTGTCAAAAAGTACAGTGATGCTTTGATTCACAAATTTGATTTTTTTTTTTTTTTTGGTCTTTTTTCATTTGTTCCATGATGCTGGGGAAGATGGCTGCAGTTGTCTTCCTCATTCTATATAGACTTTGTGAACAGAAAAAATTTTTTGCCTAATGCTTTGTTAGCTGAATTGTTCACAGAACAGAAACACTTATAAACCAAGGTATTCGTGTTTGTGAAAAACTATTCAGTAACAGTTATCATCAAGGAAATACAAATCATAACCGCAATGAAATATCATCATCGCGCTCAAGCTAAAATGGCTATCATTAAATAGACCACCCCCCAAAAAAAGTATTGGTGAGACTATAGAAAAGGTGAAATTCTCATATACTATTGACAAGAAGGTCAATTAATGCAGTCATTATGGAAAATAGTATGGAGGTTCCTTAAAACACATTCCTTAAAAATGGAATTACATGTAATCAACTTCACTACAGAGTACATATCCAAAAAATGTATCATTTTTGCATCCAACAGAGACCTGATCTCCCTGTTTATTAGTATGCACAGAAAGTAGGTGACCAATCAATATGTACACTGGCAGATAAATGGATAAAAATATTGTGTGCCTATATATACACACACATAAGTATATATGTACAATGGAATATTATCTAGCTATTAAAAGGATGAAATACTGTCATTGTCAGAAACATCAATGAAAGTAGAGGACATTATGCTAAGTGAAATAAGTCGGGGATAGAAAGATAAATACGACATGTTCTCCCTCATTTGCAGAAACCGGAAATGCTAGTCACATAGAAGCAGAGAACAGAGTAAAAGTCAGTAGAGCCTGGGGAAGGAGAGAATAATGGGTCCAAAACACAGACAGGTAGAAGTGATTCTATTGTTATATACAATACAGCAACTATAATTAACAACAATTAATGATGCGTTCAAAACGACTAGAGAAGAGTTTGAAGGTCTTAACATGTTGAAATGATAGTAACATTTGAAGAAATGGAAAGACTACACTGATTTGATCATTGCTCATCATACCCCTGTACTGAATTAGAATATTGCATGCCGTACATATAGTAAGAATGTCAGATTTCAGTTTTTAAACTTTGATTGGTGGACGTTTGCAGTACTTAACGTTTCCATTCCTTGTGCGGAGCTGGTACGCCAACATAACCTTAACCCTTTTCTCATGTTCTTTCTCTTTCCTCCCTTTCCTGTCCTTCCATCTCTTGATGGAAAAGTTCTATCTGCCAACTTCCTATTATATATCTTTTAATTTGCTATTTGCTATCTGGGCTTCTTATATAAACAAAATCATGATATTTAAACTTGTTGTCTGGTTTATTTCACTTAACATGATGGGCTCAAGATGCGCCCATTTTCCTATAAATGACTCAGATCATCTTCCTTTAGTGCAGAATGGTACTCGGTTTTATAAAAACATCACATTTTCTTTCTCTATTCACTGTTTATGGACCTACATGATTAAATGTAACGCTGTAAACATGGGTACGTATGTAAACAAGCATAACCACTGTGGAAATCAGTATGGAGCTCTTCAAATAACTAAAACTATAAATTCCATTTGACCCAACTATTCCCCTTCTAGGTATCTTCCCAGAAGAGTTAAACACATCATATTACAGAAATAATTCCAATTTTTAAAATTTAAAGTTTTCAAGAAGTAAAAATGTATAGCATTGCAAATGAGAAGTGAAAGGAATAAAATGGTACAATATTTAAAAACAAAGACTCACCTCCACTCCACTCCATGGGATGAACTTTTATTACTCGACTCTCAGAATATATAACTTTACAATGAGATCACACAAAAGTGAGGTACTTTGGGGTCTTGTAACAAGGGACTATGAATATGAACTAAGAGTTTTTAATATAGAGGCTCAAAGAATTCATTTCTTGTGTTAGTTACTAAACTTTCATTGGGGTCAGTAACAACTCTGTCTCTCTCTCTCTTTCTCTCTCTCTCTATATATATACGACTAATTTCTATAATTTATTGAAAAGTTAAAAGTAATATTGAACTAATCCAGTCCTATTTATTTTATTCCACTCTTTTAATTAAATTTCACTCTTTTGTAAGCAGTTCAGACGACTGAATATAAAGACTTGCTGACCTGTGAAAGAATGCAAAATGGAAACACGTACTTTGTTCTAAATCTGACAAGCTATAGAAGTGTTTTGAATCACTGAGGAAGATCATTCAATCATCAGAGCTCTTCCTCGAACACACAAGGTCTGACGTGGGTTTTTCTCATTACATCTAGGGCAGTGTCTTTTATTTTACAGGGGAAGACACTTACTCTGACTCACTATAGACTGTGTGTGCCTGTGTGTGCGTGTTTGTTTAACACGCCGTCAAGCTATTGGTGAGAAAGAACAGATGCCTTACCCTGGTCTCCTCTTCTAGCTGCCCTTTCAGCTCTTCAATTTGCTGAATGAAGTGGTTCTTTTCCCTGGAAAGTTGACTTAGCATGGCCTCCTTTTCTTCCAGTTTTTTTAGGCATTCACCTGCAGAAAGATTTCACAAAAAAAGTGAATCCTGGTTTTCCTTAGCTCTTTCTTCCCTTACTTAACTCACTATCATTATGGGAAAGACTCCTACCCAACTATTTTGATGTTTAGGGAATGATCTGGGAATCTTATTATCAGTAGGACTCACAAGATATTCCTAAAAGAAGAGCTGATTTTTTTTTTTTTTTTGTCTTTTTCTTTGTTATCGGTACCAAGGATCGAACTCACAACCACACACTTGCAAGGCAGGTACTTATGCCACTGAGCTAAATCCCCAGCCCCAAGAAGAGCTGATTTTTAATAGTAAGTAACAGATAATATTAGCTACTGTTTACTGAGAATTTTCTATTCTGTCAGCGCTTTATATACATTAGCTTAATCTCATAACTCCTAAATACTGAAAGAATTATTTCCCATTTTACAGAGGAAGTAACTATTGGCACTTACTTAATATGTCTAAAATAGAAACATAGAGATCTTACTAATTGGTGGAAAATGCTTAAAATTACATTCTTGTCCTGAAGAAAATATTCTTTCTCATATGCTATGCTCTCTTGTTTATCATCCTTGGCTCCACCAATTTCTGGCAATATAATTTGTATATAATTACAATTTTTGCCTCATTTATAAAATGAAGATAACAAAGTAATAAAAATGAAAATTAAATGACTATAAATGTTTGTTGCAGGCTGAGTTGCTAAATAAATATCAGTAATAATGATTAAATGGCAAAAAATGTGGTTGATGAGAGAGGAAAATTGTACAACACTTTATAAACTACCTCCCAGCTTAAATTGATTAATTATAGCAGGATCACCAATGTTATTAGAAATGGTACTAAAGGCTGAGTCACACCTGGAAAAAGTAGTTGTTTCTATTAGTACAATCAGTTCAACACTAAAAACCCATAATATTCTGCCAAGCTCTGGATCCAATCTTTAGTACTAAAATAAAAGACCATTGTACTTATGATTCCCACTCTTTTGTCTATAAAATACTTATAAAACTTTCATCATCACAAGTAAGAATATATTTGAGTATAAGGAGTATTTTCTAAACTTTTTTGGTATTAGGAACACATATTCTGCTTAAAAAATTACTGAAGAGTCTAAAAAATTTTAATATAGTTTTTATGGCAATGACATAGATATGAAATTAGAACACAGGAGTTTAAAATATACATTAATCTATTTTAAAATCATAATTTAAATGACACAGTATTAACATTTAATATATAAATATTAAGGAAGGAAATCAATACTTTTTCAAAACAAAAAACTAAAAAGAATAATATAGTTCTATATATTATATTAACTATTATTGGAAATGCATGGTGATATAGTTAATCATTTTTAGACATTTTTGATCATCATTTGATAATGTAACAAAACTCAACAAATGAAAGTATTTTAAGAGTTAGTAATAATATGCAATCAAACCATATAAAGTTTTTTTATTCATTTACATTAATTAAAATTTATTGATCTTAAACTTGAGCCAATCTTTAGTCCCTACTTTGTCACATCATGCAGGGTTAATTTGAAAAAAGACATATTCATTTAATTGTATGGTCCTTCCAGATACTGTTATATTTCCTTATATACTGTAAAAGAGGAAAAAAGAAAGCATTTTTTCTCTGTACTCTTAAACACTCAACATTTATGATCCCAGGTATGTTTTCCCTACACACCAAAAGATTTTTCTAATGAATATTACAATTTAACTCAGTTATGACATTGTTTACCTGGAGGTAGCATGAGATTTGTGAGTTGAGAATTCAGTTCCATAAGACCTTCCCTTACTTAACTCACTGTCTTTATGAGCAGAGGTCATCACAAGTCCAGATTGTCAATCGCAAGTCCAGATTTTCACCAATATTTTTTTTTTTTTTTTGGTCTTTTTCCTTTTTACCGGTACCGGGGATCGAACTCACGACTGCCTGCTTTCAAGGCAGGCGCTTATGCCGCTGAGCTAAACCCCCAGCCCCATTCACCAATATTTTCAAAACACTACTTGTATACCAAAGTTTCCTGACTTTCTCCTTAGATTAAGTTGCTAAAGTATCCTCACAAGCTCAAAGAAACTTATTTATGCTTACTTGTTTAATGCAGAGGATACAGATGACTATCCAGCTGGAAGAGAAGGTAGGACCAGGTATGGGAGAAGGTGTGCAAAGGTTTCATACATACCCTCTTTAGGCTGCCATTGTTCAGGAGCCACAATATGCTTAGCAATGACAACCCAAAGTCTACTTCTTTGGGGGTTTTAGGGAGGCCTCATTCTTTAGCAGGTTGATTAAATCATTGGTCACTATTGCTTAATTTAAACTTGAATTCTTTTTTTCCTCCCAAAATCTCAGGGATTAGGCCAAAAGTACCAACCTTCTAATAGTGCCATGGTCTTTCTGAAGAACTGCCTTCATCCAGAGGCTGTTACATTCACCAGGCATCTTATAAGCATACAAAAGATACTCATCACTCCACAGATTTCAAGAGTTTTAAGATCTATGTACCATGAAGCCAGGAAGGGTGAATATGTAGTACACACATTGTATACAATAAATCACAGTATCACATACAATATAAAAATATGCGTTACTAACACCAATAATCTCATCAGAATAGTCTTTAAGAATTTAAAGCATTAAAACACAGGTTGGAGTATATATGTTTTCCAAAACCCAAGTTTTGCCTAAATGCTCTTATTTTATGGACAACACAAGTTGCCAGTTGTTTTCCATGAAGTGATAGGCTGCCTTTTATCAGGTGTATAAACCTGAATAAGCATTGTCAGTCAGTAATTCTTCCACATTACCACCAAGCCTGGAACTCAGACAATCCAACATTTTACTTGAATATCAAACAGAAATTATTTATGTATATTTCTTATGGTATCACACCAAGTATTAAAAAGTTATATACATACTTAGAATTAGTGTGCAAAATTTATTTTTTTCTGCTTCATTAAGGAGCTTCGTAAATAAAACTGAGTTTTAAATTGTGAGTTTATATTTGTGATGCAGTGATTACTAGTAAACTGAGAGCTGGGTAGAATTGTGATAAGGCTCCAGCAATTCTGTCAGGACTTTTGCACTATCAACAGAAGTGAAAGAAGAATTTAAAAGCAATCCATCTAAGGAGTATAATGAAATAGCTTAAACCTCATAGATCCCTGAAGGGTACTGAGGAACACAGGGAGTCTGTGCACCAAACATAAATATCTGGGTGAAACATCCTATTTAAAGAGATTCTAAGGAAAAGGAACTCCATTAGGTGACTGAAGTTCACAAAACAGTTATGCAGGATCAGTACCAACTTACATTGTTTATTTATGTTCATTCTTGGTCTCTAGAAGCAAAATATGAGCCGCTCATAGGACAGGGTATAAGAAAGAATCTTTGGCAGTAGAAGAAAAGCAACCAAAAATCCTGAGACAAAAGGAAGCTTGGGTATGTACATATTTTGATTTAATTTACACAAAAACAAAAAGGCAAGAGTAAGAATTAAAGGAGGGAAGAAAAAGATCTATCCTAAGCAGGGAATTATCAGATTATACTGATTTCATTTCACTTATTTACTCATCAATTTCCTTAACAAAATATGCATAATTAGTTAATCAATAATTATGGAGAGATATCCAGTTGTTATTAAAACAAGTTTTATACAGACCTCCTTCCACAGCCATACACACAAATATTCTCTGACTTTTTTCTAGGCTGTGAAAGTCACACATTGACATTCTCAATGGTACAGAAAATAAAACTATTTGATGCCCTTCCTAGAACTTAAAAATATTTTCACCTTTCACGATTTCTGGTTTTTAATTTTGCTAACTCATTTTATTTTAGCTTTGACCCTTGTTAACAGAAGAAATCTGAGATTTCCTGAATTTAGGTATAGATGACAGGTTGGAAGATAAAGAATCAATTCATTTTAACCACAGCTTGGAGCTAAACCAATAAAGAAAAATAAAATGTCACCATACTCCTGTTCTATATGTTGAAGATTAACATTAAGGAAAAAGCACTCAGCTAGTAGAACCAACCAAGCAAGCAACAGCATATCTTATCTATTTCAATTGTAAGTAGTAGTGCAGTGAAAAGGACTTTCCATTATAAAATACTCTACTGAACTGTCTGCCCCACTCCATGACCCTGCTCTGCTGCTGTTCCTGGGACTGGTAATTTTTGTCTCTCAATAGAATATCCTTTAGTGATTTTTGTAGGATTAGTTTGGTGGTCATGAGTTCCTTTAGTTGTTCTTTGTCATGGAAATATCTTATTTCTCCATTAATTTTGAAAAATAGTTTTTCAGATTTTATCAATCTGAGTTGGAAGTTGTTTTCTTTCAGGCTTGAAAAACTTGACTTTATGCTCTTCTTGACGATGTTTGTGTTGAGAAGTCTGTTATGATTCTGATGAGTTTTCCTTTGTAGGTGATTTGTTTCTTTTCTCTAACAGCTTTTAACATTCTATTCTTGTTCTGAATTTCTGGGATGTTGATTATTATATGTCTGGGTGTAGACTCATTTTGGTTATGACTAGTTGGAGTTCTATATGCCTCACTTATCTTCATGTTAGGTCCTTTTTCTATGCTTGGGAAGTTTTCTGCAATTACCTCTGTAAATAGGACTTATGTCATTTGTATTGACTCCTGCTTTTTGACTATCTATCACTATTAAATGATTTTTATTTGCATCATCTTGCAGCTATTGAATTGTTATTTCCTGGTTCCTTGTTACTTTTAAGAGATCTTTCCTTTCACAATTACAAGCTGCAAAACCTTTCTTCAACATCTGAAAGTTTATCTTCAGTTTCTTTCAAGAGGTTTTGCCAACTTTCAATGGAGTTTTTAATTTCCTGGATATCTCTTTGAGTCTGTTCATGCATTCCAGGTCTTCTCTATATTTTCATCCAAGGTTTCCCTCATTTTCCTATGTTCTGCTTTTATCTATATCTTCTTTAGATATGCTCAGCATCCTTTTTATTATGTTTGTCATTTTTCTTTCACCTAAGATGTTGTTTCTGATCTGATTTCTTTTTACACTCTTATGAAATAGTTTCTTTACTTCAGTTTCCATCATCCCAGAAATTTCAGGTGTGTGACTTCTACTTTCTTCCATGTCTATATCTCCTGGATTTGTTCTGTTTGGGATAGAGGCCAGAGATTGCCTTTTGCTCCTTCATCTTGATATTTTCCTAGGTTCCTCTGGGTGAGTGGGTTATGGGGTCCCAGGCACTTCCCATGTTGGCTACCTATCCATAGTATAGGGTAATGGGTCAGATACCTGGGTTTCTCCCAACTTAGGTTCCTTAGGAAGCATTGAAGTGTGGAGTGGGCTTCTTAAGACACTTGCAGCTTCTACAAAGCATGGCTGGCTGGTTCTCCTGGCTCACACTGGCTACCCACAAGAGAGTCCCCATTGCACCCTGCATGCACATGGGTGCTGGGCTGGCTGTTTCTCCCTGCCCATGCTGGTTACCTGCAGGAGAGTCCCAATGGCAGCCAGTGTACATGCAGGGAGCTGGCTTGGATTCTTCCATTTGTTTTTTTAATAATTTATCAAAGTTTACAGAGCTCCAATAAGTGTTAGGTAGTGTCTAGAAAGTTGACATGCATCAGGAACAAAATAAACAGTCCTGCCTTTGTAGATCTTACTTTCTGGGAGATAGAAAAAATATTTTTTTTATGTCACAAGTAAGAAGTTTGAATAAAGGTAATAAATACAAAAAGTATTTAAAAGAACACAACAGCACATTGAACATGTGAATTGACAGAGTTCAAATGCTAACTTTCAAAAGGATCATACTATGTTTCCTCAGTTATCTACTTGATTAATTCTTATCTCCAAGTCTTTGTGGAGTTAAAAATGAGTTCTAGGAAGAGGAAAGATCTAAACCAAGACTTGAAGGTAGGAATGTGTTTGAAGTACAGTCAAGAGTTAAAGTTAGGGAAGATTGAGAGAAGACCCATGAAATAGAAGAGGCCAGAAAGATAAGAAAGGGCCAATTATTTAGGCCAGTGATGGCAAAACTTTTACATTGCCCAAACTGCAGCACAAAATTCACTTATTTATCACAAAGTGCCAACAGTCCAGTTAAACTGGCCTGCTGGCACAATGCTGAGGCAACTTGGCTCATGTGCCCACAGAGAGGGCTCTGTGTGTCCTCTGTTGCACACATGCTATAAGTTCACTAGTGTAAGCCATTGGGCAGATGCAAGCTGTAATTGAGTCTAAACAGAATGCAGTTTCATTATTACAAATTCAAAAAATGTTATTCCAAAAGGTAAAAATTGTGTAAAAAGGAAGTATCATGGCATGGCTTGTACTCTATATAAACAAACCCTACTGTCTCCTGATTTTGAGAATGGCATCTATCAACTGCATAATTGCTTTTGCTTTTGATGGGACATCCAAAAGCAGCACTGAAGTGACTTTTCCCAGAGAAAAAAGTCATGTCTCTGGACAAGGGTAACTACAGACTCTATTCCTCTCCTACAATCTTTATATGCCACCTTTATATGCCATCTATGGGTAGTTACCATCTATCTGAGTTGTTCTCAAAGAGTCTTCTAGGACTGAGGAAAACTCACAGGTGAGGCATCTCATTTACTTACCATTCTCATTCTGTAGCTTTGTCTTCTGTGCTTTCAGGTCATTTGCCACCCGGGTCACCTCATCTAGTTTTGTATTTGCTTCATTCAAGTGCATTTCATACAGACTACAGAATTTTTCAGCATTCACCTGCAAATTGAGAAAGAAAGGTTAATAATGCTGAATTAGCTGCACAATGAGGCAATGGGCATGTTTTCAGTCTATGTTTAGACATCCCTCTGAAACTTCTTGCACTTGTACTTGTAGGCGGAACAGTATTTGAAATAAGAAATCCTGCAAAGATTCTGCCAATCGCCAAGTGTTTGTAATAGACTTAACTGACAAAGGATTGTTTACATTGATGAATGGCACAAAAGTGGGCTTTCTAGCAGGATGAAAAAGATGATACATATTCTATAGATAGCTGTTAGAGATGTAGCAATGAGGGGTAGAAGTAGGGCCCAGGTGGTGGTGCAAGACATGGTGATAGTTTCAATGGTTAGGTCTTTGGAGTAGAAACTGTGAGAACTGTGAAAATTAAGCTTCCAATAATAAGGGAGAAAGAGGTAATGGGAAGGATCTTGAATAGTTCTATTATTCATCATGGATGATTGAGACTGAGAATATGAAAAGTATAGCCTTGAAAAAGGCCTGGGTGCAAATACGGAGGAAAGCTAGGCATGGTTGATTAATTCCGATAGTCACCATTATTAGGCCTAGAAGGCTAGAGGTGGAAAATGCCACGATTTTTGGATGTCATTTGTGTTTGGATGGCGCAGATGGCAGTAAATAGTGTTGTGATGGTTCCTAAGCACAAGAAGCTCCTTTGGATGAGATGATTATTTTGTATCAGTGGGGATACAATTGGATAAGTAGGAAGAACCCTCAACTACTACATGCTGGAGTGGAGTAATGCTGATACAGGGGTGGAACCTTGGGGAGATGAATGGATCATGGGAATGTGATATTTATCAATGGATTGATTCACTGGTAAGTTCACAGCTAAATATGATTTCAGAGGTAAAGATGATTGGAGAAGGGGACTCACTGAGTGTGGCCTATGTCTACTGGCCTCTCTCCTTGAACTCCCTCTATTTCCTGCCTGCCATGCTACAGACTGTTTATTCCTTGCCACGTCCCTCTGCCATGATGCCCTGCTTGGAATCAGTCTATTAATAATTGAAACCTCTACAAACTGTAAATCAAAATAGACCTTTCTTCCTTAGAGCTGTAGGTGTTGGGTATTATATCTTAGCAATGAGAAAGCAATGAATACAGGTGGCCCTGGGACCTGAATGATCTCTTTGGCAATAAAGTCCTCAACTAGTATCAGGAAATCATCCTCATATTTAAGCAAATACAACACACACAGATTCTGGGTGCTTAAAAGGCCTATACTTCTCAGAATATAAATTTCAGTGAAGAAATTCAAGTCCCTAGGCATTAGGAGCCTTTCTAGAATTCTCTGGATTTCTAGAGAAGGAAATATTTCAAATATTAATAAGGTGTCTGATGTGTTCATTTTCTGACATTATATATGTAAAACTGTCTCTTTTTTCCCTTATAAATGTAAGTTTCATGAAGGTAGAGATTCTGCTTGAGCACAGGTCCCCAGTTCCTAGAAAGTGCCTTAAACATACTAGAAGATCAATAAAAAAGAGGGAAGATACATAGAGAAAGGAAAGATCACGGAAATCTAGAGGGTTGACCAACCAAGTTAGGAGAAAGTAGGTGACTGTGAACAGCAACAGTCTTATAACAAGAACTTGAGCTGTCAGAACAACTGTACCCTTATGATCATCATAATTAGAGGATCAAGATAACCTTGTGGATCTAACACTTGATGCTTGAATTTTAACTTCTTGCAATTAACTTTTCAGACTTGAAGAAATCATCAGCCTTCATACTTCCCCTTGATGTTGGTAAGCAGAAAAATGACAAGATTTTTGTCACAATCTGGAAATTCATGCATGTGATTTGGAAATTCATACTGGACCAAGAATCACCAAATTTAAGTTAAAGGCCGGGGGTTCCCATTTACCTAGAATTAGATGTGGTTTGAGTTTTTTGAATTGATTCATGTGATCACTTCTTTAAAGAAATAATAGAAATATTGGTATACTATTATAACTACATAAAAACTGAAAGAAAAATAAAGTTCCCAAATAGTCTCTTCTACTCTAGATATAGTTTCCCTGTTATTATCATGCCTTAATGTAATTTAACATAGGGTTTAGTCTTTGTGTTTTAAAATTGTATGGGTTTTGAGATATGTCTAATGTCATATATCCATCATTATCTTTCAATAGTTTCCTGTATTCCACCAACCTATCCTTCCCTTTTTCCAGGGGAATTCCTGGCAGTCAGTGATATTCTATAGTCTCCCCAGCCTTAACTTCTATAAGAATACACCATTGTGGGCTGGGGATTTAGCTCAGCGGCATAAGCACCTGCCTTGCAAGCAGGCGGTCCTGAGTTCGATCCCCGGTACCGATAAAAAGGAAAAAGACCAAAAAAAAAAAAAAAAAAAAAAAAAAAGAGCAAAACTAATAAACTTTATAAAAAAAAAAAAAGAATACACCATTGTAATCAAATATTACCTTGTACAGACTGTCTTTTTCATTTAGCAATATACATTTATAATTTCTCTTTGTTTCTTATAGTTCATTTATTTTTGGCACCGAATACTATTTTGTTGTATACATTTATCACAGTTTGTTTATCCATTTGCCTAAGACTATCTGAAATGCTTCCAACTTTTGGCAACTAAAGACAAAGTCATTACAAATATCCTTGTGCAGATTTCTTGTGAACCTGAGTTTTCAAATCATTTAGATAAATAACAAGAATCATGTAGTGAGGACATGCTTAGCTTCACAAGGAAAAGCAAGACTATCTTCAGAAGGGGCAGTGCCATTTCATTCCCACCAGAATTAAAGAGTTCATGTTGCTTTACATCCTGACCAGTATTTGTTGTTTTTCACTGTTTGGGATTATTTTAACTATTCTTACAAATATAGAGTATTACCACGTTGTTTTAGTCTGCTTTATTCTTTCACTTTTTAATTATTTAAGTTTATTGGCATGATTAAATACACAGTAATCACATTCATCATAGAGAATTTTTCCTTGTACATGATATATCTTGATTCTTCTTTTCTTCCCCATTATCCTCCCTTCTTTTCACTCTCTTTCCCTTTACGTTTATAAAAGTTTGGGCTCCATTTTATCTTTTTCTCTTCTTTTTTGTTTTTCCTTTCCTCCCCTTGTAACCTTGTCTTCCTAGTTTCCCTTCCTATTTGAACATTTTCTTCCTATTTTACAACATCCATTACACATTTTGTTCCTTATTTACACTTTCAGTTTCTCATATCAGAGAAACAATGTGATATTTTTACATGTGTGTCCAATTTATTTCACTTAGAGTATGATTTACCTAGACATGTATCAAGTTGATTCCTCTTCATGTGGAAGAAGAATGGCTGAATAGTTACACCATTGTACAAGATATCATCATGTTAAATAGAATAAATCAGACACACAAGCTTAAATACCACATAGTTTCTCTTATATGAGAAACCTAAAATAGAGATAAAGAGCAAAATACAAGATAGATAATAGTAAAATAGTAAAATAGATCTTTTTCAAATGGGAAGAGGATCAAGAAATTGAAAAGGGGGGAGGGAGAGGAAATAAAGGAGATTAAAAAAAGAATCAGTATATGTTGACTTTTTGTATATGTACTAACTCCCCACAAGTAATGTAATTATTATGTAATGTAAACATGTGCTAATAAACACGAAACTGGAAAAAATATTACCTACTGATTGGTAAACGAGTGAAGAACTATACAGATTCATGCCTATTGGGAGACTCAGAAGAGACACACCACATGGCTCCTCCTCACAGATGCCCCACAGTGTAAGGGCTCGTTGATGACTGTGAACCCAAACCTTGCAGAGATTCAGTGAGGAGGTCCTTCATACAATGCCACTAGAATCATGGAGGTTACAGTGTTGACGATAAAGGACTGGTGTGCTCAATTATCCACGCTCTCCACATACTGGCACAAAACTAGAGTAATGATTCATGAAACAGTATCTAGATTGTCTACATTTTTTACCATGTTTTGAATATTCAATGTGTTTGGCCACACTTCTGAATATGACCTTAACAATCAAAGATTGTCCGCTCATTGTCCCCTCCTCACAATACACCTCAAAACTTCAGTGTGGCTTCATTTCATAAATGGGGAAAATTGTATCAGAGAAATTTATTTTCAGAAATGAGATTTGAACTTGCATCTGCACAAACAGCTTAACTTAAAATAGGGAAAAATCAAACAAAAGAAAAAGAAAAATGTCAAATATTATATTGTTAACTATCTTATAAGGAGAAGCAGTAACAAAAGAAATGTGGAGAATGAATTAACTGAATGCAAAAGTGGACTCAAATTCCCACAAATCCTGGGTCACTGGAGAAACTATATAAAATGAGACAATGTGAACCATCTTTATGTAGCATTATTTCCAATAATAAATGACAAAGCCAGAATGAGCGGATCCACATATGAGAAATGGCACTTCTGTGGATAGCCTTGAATGTGCCATGGGTATATCTGTTTGGGAAAAAATGAAAGAGTAGCAATCTATAAGACCACTGTCAAGAATCTGTGGAAATGGCAAGGAAAGAACAAAGACAGTTTCATTTTGTCAGGAGACATTCATGTGGTCATAGCACACTAATTCAATCTGTGAGTGCTCAGGCCACTGAAGCCAAAAGAAATGGCACATGCCTTTAGGCATAGCTTCACGGAGTGAGTGGTCATAGATACATTTAACTATTAGTCCAGTACTCTGAATTTATAAGGAATTTTCCATAATTAGGAATCATGAATGATAATGTGAATATTTATCTAAAAGTGACTTGTTCAGGAATATAGCATGCAAAAGATTTGTACCTTCAAAAGAATTTCAAATTTCAGCAAGCAATAAATTTCGATTCCAGGGAAAAGGATGTTAAGAGAGTAATGCACATTCATTTTAAAGCTGTTTCTTAAAATGATGCATAAAATGTTGCCTCCCAGAAATGCACAAATGCAGGAACCAATGGGAATTCAGAATAATCAAAATAATCAAGAGATTGCCTAT